TCTAAGCTGTTGATGTAATGACAGCATTTAATTCCAGGTGTCATGAGCATTCCATGCATTGCGAAATATTCGCATGGTCCGAGTTTCTGGTATTTCTCTTAAGAGAGACGCTGTTGATGTGGGCCTGTTGAGTGTCACCAGGTAATTTTGGAAACCAAGTGGGTTCTCACTGTTCGTACCGCCTCCTCTCAAGTTCGCCGCTTCTATTCTACTTCACATATGATAGGAGATATTCCGTGCCGGTGCCACTAGAACTCACGTTATTGTCGTCCCTGTTGTGACTCCCTGCGAAGGGCCACAGGCTGAGGCCCACAGTCTGGGGACATGTGAGCTCACTCTCTGCTGTTGTTTTGTGTTTATTACTGAACCTTTCGAAGAACTGCACGCATGACACATGTTACAAAGCACCAGGACCAATTGGTCCCACAATTGCTACATTTTCTCAAAACTCCGAGGCCATTTCCTTCATTCCGGCCGTTCTCACGCCACAATCGACTTGAGTACAACAGCTGTTGTTCACCCCTGTTTCTCGGCTATTTAAGCCAAGCCGTCATTCTCCATGGGGTAACGGTACTTTCCCATACTCCAGCAAAAAGTATATAACATTGAAGCTCCCAGTTGGAAATATTTTTCTCCGTAGACAATCATCACCTTGAAAAAACATCATGCTTAAAGAAAAGTTCAATTTACGATCCATTGGGATCAAGAAGCCCGAAGGCTCTCCCGGGTCCTCGACCACCGCCATCTTTGTTGGCCTCTTCGTCGCCTTTGGTGGCATATTGTTTGGGTACGCTCTAGCACTTGATAGTAATGGCCTTTTCCGTGTGCTGATTGATAAATAGATACGATACTGGAACTATTGGAGGCATTATCGCTATGCCGCATTGGCTACGGACCTTCTCGACCGGCTACAAGAACCCCGAAACAGGACTTCCCGACATCACAGCATCAGAATCGTCACTCATCGTGTCCATTCTATCAGCTGGCACATTCTTCGGCGCTCTCGCTGCAGCTCCTCTCTCCGACCTCATTGGCAGAAGACTTGGACTGCTAGCCACGCTCGTTGTATTCTGTTTTGGAGTTGTGCTTCAGACAATTTCCGTTGCCATACCCCTCTTTGTTGCCGGTCGATTCTTTGCTGGCTTTGGAGTTGGTTTAATTTCTGCTTTGAGTGAGTGAAAACCCGACTCGTAAGACCTTCAACTGACACTTTCTAGTCCCTTTGTATCAATCAGAAACGGCACCGAAGTGGATTCGTGGAGCTATTGGTAAGTTACCGACCACAAAAGGAATGCAACTCTACTAACTGTACTAGTTGGCGCATATCAACTTGCAATCACTATTGGTCTTTTGATCGCAGCCGTCGTCGACAACGCGACGAAAGACCGAAATGACTCGGGATCGTACAGAATCCCAATCGCGATCCAATTCGCATGGGCCATCATCCTCGGAACGGGTCTTCTATTCCTCCCCGAGACACCCAGATACCTCATCAAAGTTGGAAAAGACGAACAAGCAGCGAAGTCTCTCTCAAGACTCCGGAGACTCCAAGTGAACGACCCATACCTGATCGACGAGCTCGCGGAAATCAAAGAAAACTACGAGCATGAGCTCCAGATCGGCAAATCTAGCTACAGCCAATTCTTGACTTGGCACACACTCGGCAAACGTCTTCTCACTGGATGTTTGCTTCAAAGTCTTCAGCAACTCACAGGGATCAATTTCATCTTCTATGCAAGTAATCCTTCTGCAGGTTCTCTTGCAAAGGTCCATGACTGACATTTAACCAGTACGGAACTTCATTCTTCACAAATTCAGGTATCCACAACCCGTTCGTTGTGAGCATGATAACATCAGCTGTCAACGTCGCATCGACATTCCCTGGTCTATATCTCGTCGAAACATGGGGTCGTCGTAGACTTCTCCTCTTCGGTGCCATTGGCATGTTCGTCTCGCAGATGATCGTCGCTTCTGCCGGGACCGCCTTCCCAGGTGATAGCAACATGCCAGCACAAAAGGCTCTTGTCGCATTCGTATGCATCTATATATTCTTCTTCGCCTGCTCATGGGGTCCAGTCGCATGGGTTGTGACAGGAGAGATCTTCCCCTTGGGAGTACGTGCCAAAGGCCTTTCCATGACAACAGCAAGCAACTGGCTCTTGAACTGGGCAATCGCCTACTCGACACCGTATCTCGTCAATCCTGGAAAAGGAAATGCCAATCTTCAGGCCAAGATTTTCTTCCTGTGGGGTGGCTGTTGTTTGGTTTGCGCGTTCTTCGTTTGGGGCATGATTTACGAGACGAAGGGTCTTAGTCTGGAGGAGATTGATGAGATGTATGAGAAATTGGACTTTGCTTGGAAGAGTGAGGGGTATGTACCGAAGACGCATTTCAGAGATCATTTGAATGGTGCTGGTGGCAATGCAGAGAAGGATAAGTCCAGCGAGGGGGATCATTCTTCTGACCATGCGGAGGTTGCTGTTGCTCCAGAAGTGCAGCGCACAGTGTAGTTTCATATTCTGAGAATGGCGGGATCATTGGCGTTTCTGGTACCTAGAGTATATAGTCAATTTCATTTGTATCTGGCCTTGTTATAAAATCGCACCAGTTAGGTAGTCATGTACCAAGTAATTGAGGAATCGAATTTCTGCCGAACTCTGTGACTCGCACATATCAAAAATGATCAGTCGAGATCCTTCCAGACCTGAGCTTCCAGGTTGCCTGAAGCTCAAAAGTGAACAGAAGGTCTTCATCATGCTGGCACGTGCCTGTAAATTTTTTGTTGCACATCGCAGCATTGTTTACTTTCGAAAGGTGATCATGAAAACTCCAAAATCTCGAATATCGCTTGCCGAGGAGAATCGGGGGCAGCCAGTGACCTGCACTGAAACTCCCTAAGGTCGAACAACTTTGCGGATCGATGAGTTTATTTCTGGTGGTCAAGCAACATTCGTAAAGTTGGGCAATCTGTCGGGTACCTCCGGTGGTCGAGCATCATTTCTTAGGTCGAGTGAGTTGCCCATCGATGCCCTTGTTCCTGGTGATCGAGCAACATTTAGTTGGCCAATCAACGCATGAGGCTGATTGTGATAAACAGATACCTTAGGAGCTCAGTAAGCTGCATTATTGACTGTTGCCAACCTTGATAGAAACTAACCCCGTAATTCTTATCTCCTGTGCCGCAAAATACGTAAGACTTCGGAGCTTCCTATTTGAGACGTAGGTTGAATACAGCCGGGGCTAGTCTATGACTACATCTCATCTCCAGATATCAACTCAAATCACTCTGCCAAGTCTTCTCCATCATTGTTCCTAACCTGAAGTAATTCTGCCAAGCATCTCGAAACTCGACAAATCCATATCACTCATCACTCATGGCTTCGACAACCGATATCTCTCCCGATCTCATCACGGAAGGAACCATCCTGTTCTCCGCACCAGGAACTGACAAGGAATGTGCAACCTGGTACAAAATATTTGGGCCCTTAGGGGCAACTTCTCGAATACCCCTCGTTGTCCTTCATGGCGGTCCAGGACTTAGCCACGACTATCTCCTCCCGATGCAGGAACTTTGGTCACGACATCAAATTCCAGTTATCTTCTATGACCAGATCGGAAACGGGAAATCGACCCACTTGCCGGAAACAAAAGGCGACGAAACTTTCTGGAAAGAGGAGCTATTTTGGGATGAGCTGGATAATTTGATTAAAGGTCTGGGTTTGAGGGAATATGATGTACTTGGTCAGAGTTGGGGCGGGATGATGGGGTCGAAATGGGCTGGGATCCGGAAGCCAAAGGGATTACGAAAATTGATCTTGAGTAACTCGCCTGCTGATCTCAACGCGTGGGAGAGGGCTTATGCTTCGTATCGGAACTTGTTGCCGGAGGACGTGGAGGCGGAATTGAAGAAAGGCGAGGAGGCTGAAGATTGGGAGAGCAAGGAGTATGAGGAAGCCGTTATGTTCTTTTTTGCGAGGCATTTGATTACGGTTGATCCTATGCCGGCTGAGGTTTTTGAAAGTCTTGCGTGGGCTGGAAAGGATGATACAGTTGCGATGACTATGTGAGTTTTTCCCTTTCATATAAGGATGAGACGAACATGTGTTAGACGTTAAGCTGATAAGCCTAGGTCCGGTCCGGACGAGTTCAAGTCCCGAGGGATAATGAAGAACTGGTCTGCTGCTGAAGCTGCGAAAGGAATCGAAGCTCCAACTTTGGTGATCAACGGAGTGAATGAAGGCGCAAGTGATGAAGCTGTTAAGCCGTTTGTGGACGGTATCAAGGACGTCAAGTGGGTCAAGCTTGAAAACAGCACCCACTGCCCGGTGCATGAAGAGAAAGAGAACTATCTCAAAGTGATTTCTGAGTTTTTATTAGGTGAATAAGTGTATTGTCTGAAGTTTTACCTCGGGGCGGCTTGGCACTTATGTTGAACTTTATCATTGGGTTCAAAAGGTTGCACACAACGGGAAGAGTAGGGGAAATTTATTACAATTAACGCACCTATATCAATGATCTGAGCACTAGCAGCTACATATTGAGATACACTCCTTGTCCTTCTCTAATTCTGAACTAATTAAGGAATGGAGTCTACTGGCCCTTTAACTGATACGGAACTTCATTTTGAAGAATGACTTGCATGGTATATAGGTTCTGCGCCACCAGGCAATGTGTATCTTTACTCCACCTTGTCATGAATAGTCCGGCATGTGAGACTTAGTTGGCAACAGCGAACAACTCAACAAACTGCAAGAAGGGGTCCACAAAAGTCACAACCCCTGTGGATTGGACCCGAACTTCAGTCACGGTAGAAACTAGAAAATAAGCAAAAGTAAAACAAAAAAGGACCCTGAAATGATATTACTTAAGAAGGCATTTTTGTATAAGCGTTACTAGAAACATAGACTTCTAGAGTATACTTCTGGGCATGGAAATGCTTCAACGACATGTCGAACGAAGGCAAAAAGATTTGCTCCGAAGAGCTCATTCAGTCGGTCTGTCGACGGCTGCAGGATTTGAACCTACGCTCCCGAAAGAAATAGATTTCTAGTCTATCGCGTTAACCACTCCGCCAAGCCGCCTTGATCATCTGAATGTGAAGGAGTGTTGCTATCTGGATAATTATCAGGGGAAAAATCTTTCGCCGTGGTAGGTGGATCAACCTACTGCTATGAAGCTTGCATAAAACCAATGAAAAATGATTCTCTGCACAAATCCAATGGATACGGGACGAATCTAGAAAGCTCTCCAGTAAAAAGTGGCGGTGAAGAGACTTTGATTGTGGAGTTTGAAAGCTTAGCGGGGTTGTGGACCTCCACTTGCTTGCCCCTTTTTCGCTCGCTTAGCTTGTTGAATGCCAAGAACATTATGTTTGACTTGTGCATATCGAATCTTTATTTTGTTCTCTGCTTTATGTTCTTTTATTCTCTATTCTCAGTATCCAAAATCTTCATACACGACTCGTCTACCCGCTAGCCAATTCAATATCGAGCTCTTCAGCCTCGGGCCAACACACATATACCACTCATCCACCCCCTCCTCTTCATTGACCCTGGCCACATCCTCCTCTCCAACCCTCCTCCTTTCAATCCGAACTCCGGTCTCCACCGCTTTCTTCAATAATTTCAACTCCTCTAATTCCAAATCCGCATCCTCGCCCGACAAGAATATCGTCGTCGACCCAACAAGTTGAGGATACCTCTTCAAAGTATCAGCCACAAGTCCAATATCCTCAATACCAATCCCCCAAAGCAATCTCAATTGTTTCAAATCCATACTATCAATCTGTCCTAATAGAGGCGTAATTCCAATACCACCCGCAATAACCGGGATGATACCACCAGCTTCTTTTTTCGCGAAGCGAAATTCTCCACCAAAGCCCTTCAGCGGGACTTGAAATCCACCCCTCAGTTTCGCGCGTCGTTGCTGCTCGAAGAGGAAATTTGTTACACGCCCTATTTTTCGGATGGTGAGTTCAAATTCCTTGTTTGATGATGACGGAGGACTCGAGACGGTGAAAGTCCGAAGGAAATCATCGTTCAGAGATTGAGGATCTTCGTCTCGCATATGGCTATATCCCTGGTCAAGATAATCCTCGAAAGCCAGGGTAGCATACTGTCCTGGTTTCCAAGTTGCGATGGCGTCAGGATCTTCGATGCTGAAGCGGAAGCGAGATATTGTAGGTGTGAGTTTGGTGGTGTTGAGAAGTGTTGCGTGATTGAGGTTCTCCTCTGAGACATTGACATGCGCCACCTTCTCGTTCGCAGCATACCTGACAGGTGGGTTATAAGGGGATAATTTCTCGGGTATTCCTGTAAAAGTAAGACCCTTCTCCACGAACCGCGCCGAAGTAATCGTGACTTTCACAGCAAGGTTCGACCTCAGCAATACCGCACCGGCTTCCTTGCCGATGAGGATTTCAGTCTTCCCTGTCAGGTATAACACATCCCCTGTATCGAAATCAGGTACCGTAATCCCAGCGAAGGGGTTCATCTTAAGGTTGCCGAGACTTTCGTACATTCTGTTACCAGAATATTCGGGGTATACGATCACGGCTCCTGATTCATCGTTTGAGATTACTCGGACGAAACCAGCGGGTCCTCCGCGGTGATTTGTATCCACATCCTCCGAACCGTCAGAGGAGGACATGAAAAACATATCAGCTTTGTTGAGCAGCGATAACGCTTCTGGTGGAAGTTGAGACGAGTCTGAGATAAGTTTTGGCTGCGGCGTGAACGGAACGATGCGTTTCGAGTTAAGATATTTAGGACAATTGCCTGTAGATTGTTAGCACTTGATCGTGGGAGAGCAATTTTGGTGGATTTACATACCGACACTCTTATTGATGCTCACAACCAATTGCATCTGACCAACCCCTTTCTCTCTATCACCGTTGCCCTCCATAGCACCAGCAATCATATGCCCATGCAACTTAACTCTCATCCTCGACTCAAGATCAATCGTCAACCCGCCCACCATTCTTCCCTCTCCTTCCTCTCTCACAATCTCGCCTTCATCCGCACCCCCGATTAAAGCCTCAACAACAGGATCAAACCTCCTATCCACAGCGGTCTTAATCCCAATCACATTCTTTGCAACCGGTCTCCCAAACCCCGGATCTCCTCCCCAGATCGTCGTCCACGGCCGATCCTGATCATCCAATGTCCCGAGCGCCAGTAACGGAGCGCCTTGGACCATGTATCCCGCACCAGGAGACAAGAATGGCGAATTCGGATTCCCTTGTCCTGCTACATGCATGATTCTATGCATCTCCTTCTCGCCTTTATTCCAAGGCAGACTCCTAGATCCGAACGACATGTCGTAGGTATTATGTGAAAAAGACGAGGGGAAAGATATGGAACTATTCAAGAAAGGGATCGTTGAGATGTATGATGAAGTTAAGACCTCCATCTTGGGCAGTAGGGGTGGAGTATATATCAGTTGAGTGAGGCCGGATCAAGCTTGGTGTGGTTGGTGTGAAGTGACGATGATGCATGACAAAGCAAAGCAATAGAACATTCCTGCACAACTTCCGCACACCCTCGACGTCAATACAAGCCTCAAATTAAACCCCAGCTCTTCCCCGGAGGAAGAGAAAGAGACAAAGCCCAAGCTCGTTACGAGGAGCTGGGGTTTGTGGGTGTTGCTCAGTACTAAGCAGCTGGTGCATGGTCGGGATTTGCGGGATTTGCTGGTCTTTGCTTACGGGATTTCGCCAAGCGATGCAGGCGGATGTGGAATCAGTGAGAGCGCTTCGAGGATCGTTTTATTGGTACTTGACTGCATGTATCGGGGAAGGCTGATGGTTATTAAGTCAGTGGTGGTTGATGATGGAGTGGTAATGTGATTGATGGAGTTACGCAGTGTATGCAGCACTAAGCCACCAGATCATGCGGTGGAAGGGAGCCTGGGAGTACAGATTTCTTGAGAACTTCATGCAGCTAGCTACCTTGCTAATTCAATACCCAATCAACAGTTTCGGCCTGAGCTTTGCATTCGCCGCATTCTCCCCCCTTTTACCGTCGCTTAACTCTACTCGAAGGAGATATCGAACCTGCCTTCGATAGCGTATCAAATCAAAACTATACAACAAGACATCAGAGGAGATGTGCATCAAAAACATCGAAATCTAAAATCAGAAGTCTCGAGGAATCCATTCTTCAGAAGTCAACCATCAATCCTTCGCTCTCGTCCTTGATCCTCGCATTCCCACCTAAAATCTCATCCTCACTAACCACCTCTCTCCTCCTCTTCCCAAGTCCCTGCTCAGCAGTCTCCTTTATCACCTTCTCCCAACTCCACTTCCCTCCCCCTCAACCCCACAATGGCCTTCCTCAAATCCCCAACGATCAACCACCGTCCCTTCTCCTCACCAACCTAACTTCTCCCCGATCTTCCCCACAAACCCACAAACCCTCCAGCTCTCCATACAACACAAACAAATTCTCCTTGGCCAGTTTCCGCTGCTCTCATACCGTTCCTTCAAATCCTTGACAGGAACATATATGAAGTGCTGCGGACTTGTCCCATCAAACTATAAGCGGTTTCCATTCCCCAGACCCTTCACTGCCTTTCACGGGCCAATCAAATTTCTCCCCAGTTTCCCTATCGCATCATATGAAGAAGTCGGTCGTATCGAATCATCAAAAGCGATTTGGGACAAAGGATATGGTAAGATCTTACGTCTCGGTCAGTTTTAGTTGTCGTAACGAGACTTTTTTGGCCTGGGTAGCGGAGACTGGTGGGTTCTGTGCAAATTTATCACTTTCGCCCCGTTGAAAGAGATGAAAGGGAGAAGGGAAAGAAAGCCGGTGATGCAAGATGGGCGTCTAGTAGGTCTAGCCTGCAGTAGAAAAGGAGCTGGAGGTCTTGACTCCTACAGGCAAAAGGGACAAGGAGGCCTGTTAATAAAGTAATGAGAAAGATACAGTGCTTTGAATCGACTTTTGGAGAAGTGTGAAGAGGGGCAAGGGAGGCTTGGTGCACTGTAAGACAAGGGTAGCAGGTAATGGTTAACCAGTAGTTGTATGTCTGAGACGAAATCATTGCGTAGGATGAGATCGGGGTTAGGGATGAAATAACGGCGCTGACAGGACTAAGTGTTAAAAAATACGAGGCAGTCAGTCCATGAAAAGGAGGTGGAAGGGTTTCCAGATATCACATCTGACCACTGAAAACAGAGAGCTCCCAGACGCCTAGCCAGGCACAGCTTTCAAATAGAAACGTCCAACGGACTGGAGAGTAATAATGGATTGTCATTTCAAGTCTGGATCCTATTCCAGGAAAAAGGGGAGACGCTGGGAAATGCCTCCAACCCTGCCTCTTGCATTACAAGTATCATACAGAACCAGCCCTCCCGTCCCATTCTCATCCGTCCCAAGAATTAAAAACGCCACCGCAACAAAAAAAAAAGCCCAAACCCATAATAACAATAGAAGTAGACGTAGAAGGCCGATCTAAGAACCAAGCGCAAACCGCCTCTCGAACTCCTCGTACAGTTTCGGACTTATCTCGTCGCTGCTATTACCCTCTACCTCCCACAACACGCCCTTCTTGGCGTAGTGCTCTAATAAAGGTTCGCTCGTCTCTTTGAATTTCTCTAATCGTGCTTTCCATGTCTCCTCGTCGTCGTCTTCGCGCTTTGTCAGAGGTTCACCTGTCAGGTCGTCTTTCCCGGGTACTCTCGGTGCATGGAATGTGGTGTTGTATGATCGGCCTGAGGGGGCATGTATCCATCTTCCCGCGATCCTCTCCAAAATAACCTCGAAAGGCGTCTTAAGGGATACCACAAGATTGATAGGTATCAAGGCGTCTAGTTGCGTAGCTTGTCCGGCGGTTCGGGGGAATCCATCGAGTATGAAGGATGCCGAGGGGTCGTCGGAGGTTTGGGGCGGGGGATATATGTTCGCGAGAGAGGGTTGCTCGACGTAGAAATCGGTATCGAAATCTTGATGCGCGGCGGCCGCAGAGGTTGAGTTGAGGGTTAGGGGTTGTTGCCCGGCTGGGAATAACCATCCTCGAGTCTTGAGTTCGTGGAGGATCAGACGGAGAATCATTGCGTCGGGGACGAGGGCGCCGGACT